TTTTTTTTTTTTTTTTTTTTTTTTTTTTTTTTTGCACCAGGGATCAAACTTGGGTCTTTGCACTTGCAAACCAGGTGCCAGAACCACTGAGCTAAATCCCCAGCCCTAAGAGAGAAATATTGAATGGACTAGTTAGTATAAAAACATCATCTGCCACATATTCCTCACAAGCACTCACCCAGATTCTGTAATTAATTATCTCACTTGATTTTCACCACATATGTCATGAGGAAGAATTCCCATCTTGCAGGTGGGAAACCTGAGCCTCAGAAAGGTCAGTTAACTTTCCCAAGGGCCTAACAGCAAAGCCTTTGATAGTATGGGGTGATTTAATAAACACCAGCAAGAAGGCTGAGCCAAAAAAGGGGGTCAGTCATTCAGAATCTCAGTCTAGAATGAACCATCTTCTCCCTGCAGCTGGTGGTTGGAGACCTTGGACCAGGTGGGCGGAATCCTCACTTGAAGGTGCTCAAAGGACCAACAGTCCTGACAGAAAGCCCACTCCCTTCCCTGCCAGCTGCCGCTGCCACCTTCCTCATGGAGCTGCATGAGCCTCGGACTCCAGCTTTGGCACTGGCTTCAGGCCCTTGTATTTATGTGTATAAGAATCTAAGACCCTACTTCAAGTTCACCCTGCCCCAGTTGCCTCCAAACCCCCTGGAACAAGACCTTTGGGACCAGGCAAAGGAAGTAAGCGACAAAGGGGATAAGAACCAGAAGGCAAAGATAATAGCCATTGGGTGAAAAGGGCCAGGCTCCCAGCAAGAAGGGTAGGTTCCCCAGTGGGCCATTGGTGGGAGGTCAGTCATGCCCCATCACTACCAGTAGCAGCGGTGGTCCTTCTAGGTAAGGTGCTGTTCTCAGCCCCTCAGCTATAGGTCCCAGGAAGGCACCCAGCAGGCCCTTTGGAGAGTGGAACCTATTGAATTCCCCTGCAGTAGCTACACTTCTACCCACCTGTCGGAGAAAGGAAACTAAAAAAGGATGGGGCTCCCCAGAGAAGAAGGGGAAAGTGGAAGCAGGAAGAGCTAGAGACTTTGAGGGAGATGTGGATAAAGAAGATACTGTGTATGGGTGTGCCCCTGAAGCTAGATTTAAATCAAGGACCTAGGCTTGGGGCTCAGTTTGTGGGAGTAATTAGGCGGGAAGTGGGGGAGGAAGAGTAACTGTCAGAAGTATAGCCTCCCCTAAGGGTATGGGTACCAGAGTTCACAGACTTCTTCTTCTGCTGTCCCAGGACCGGATTGACCCCTTAACTCTGAAGGAGATGCTGGAGGGCATCCGGTGAGAACTCACCTTCCCCTAGCCCCTCCCACACTCCTGCACTCTCAGTCAGACCCCCAAGGCCTGGTTCCTCCACTAAACCTGCCTCTCTGGGTGCTCTCCTTACAGGGAGAAGGCAGAGATACCTTTGTCTGTACAGTCACTCAGGTAAGGCCTGGGGAAAGGGTGTGCCTGTGGACTGGCCCCAAACAGCCAGGAGGGAACCTACAGATGCCAGTTCTCTTTGCATCCAGGTTTCTGCAGCTGGAACTGAGTGAAATGGAGGCATTTGTGAACCAAAACAAGTCCAGTACCATCAAGCGGCAGGTAGTGCTCCACTCTCTTTTTTTTATTGCACCGTAAAAAAAAATTTTTTTTAAGAGACTGTGTACCATCAGTGATAATTCTACCCAAACTTCTCTTTCACTTTATAGTTTCCCTTCCAGCTATACCACATGTATATAGTCACAAAGCTGCTGTACCTTGTGCATTTCCTTAGCAGTGACAACCCCTACCCCTTCCCTAGCAGTGCTGAGGATGGAACTCAGGGCCTTGCCATGCTAAGTAAACACTGTACCACTGATCTACACTCTCAGCCAGTGACAGCTTTTTTTGTTTGTTTTTGTTTTTTGTGTTTTGAGACAGGCTCTCACTATGTAGTTGAGACTGACCTGGAACTCACTATGTAGCCCAGGCTGGTCTGGAACTCATAGTGATCCTCCTGCCTCAGCTTCCTAAGTGCTGGGATAATAGGTGTGTGCCACCATGCCTGGCTTTTTTTTTTTTTTTTTTTTTTGAGACAGGGTCTTGCTGTATAGTTCAGCTGGCCTTGAACTCACTATGTAGCCCAGGTTGGCCTTGCCCTTGTGGCAATTGTCCTGCCTCAGCTGGGATTACAGGCATGTGCCACTATGCCCAGCAAGTGACAGTTTTTAATACATAGAAAGCCATGCACACACCTGCATCACAACTACTCAGGAGGCTGAGGCTATATCTATGGATTTTTTTAAAAAATTAATTTTATTCGTACATTTTAGGTATACAATATAATGACTTTCATCATTAGAAATTTGTACCTTTACATAATCTATCTTGGTCCAGATAGATAGATGATAGATAGATAGATAGATAGATAGATAGATAGATTATGTATCTATGTATCTATCTATCTATCTATATGTTTTTTGTTTTTGTTTTTCTACCAGGGATCAAACTCAACACCTTATGCTTGCATGACAGGTGGTGGCAGCACTGAACTAAATCCCTGGCCCTATAGATAGACTTATATAAATACATAACATTATCTAACTTGCAACTTTTTTTTTGGTACCGGGGATTGAACTCAGGTCCTTGTGCTTGTGAGGCAGGTGGCAGAACTACTGAGCTAAATCCCTGGATCCTAACTTGCAACTTTTATTTTCTCAAAGGTAAAGGTATTATATTTTTATTACACAAAATTTGGAAAATAAAGACAAGTATAAAGGAGAAATATGTGACTATAATTTCACTATCCATAGACACTTACTTTTTATTTTTTGTACCAGGACTCAAACTCAGGGCCTTTCACTCACAAGGCAGGCACTGTGCTGCTGCTGCACTACATCCCCAGCCCGAGAGGAGTACTTTTATTGGTCCATTTTGATCACAAGTATAGTAGTTTTATATCCTGCTTTCTTGGAGTATGTATCATTATACAAGCTTGTATTTTGAGTATTAGTCTTTAAGAACTCCATGTTTAGTGGCCCCTTATTTTATTGATTATTCATTATTTCATTCCTATTTTATAACTGTTCCTATCTTCATTAGAGGGGAGGGGAGTAGAGGAAGGGAGATTCCCCATGGAGAGCAGAGAGAGGTCATGAGAGTGGTGATAAGGTCCACAACAGACATCTCCAGTTGGGACTCAGGGCCATAACACGAATGGGTGACCAAGGCAGGAAGCCCTGCAGTTGGCCAGATACCAAGGGAAGACTGTCTTCACGGAGAATTTCTGTGACCAGTGCTGGATTTAAGAAATATGGGAGGTGGAATGAGCCTTTCTCTCTCTGTGGGTGAGGAAATAGAGAAGTCTTACCTATCTGAAATGGCTGGGGGGGACTGTCCAGAGCTTGGTCTGAGGCGCAGTCTGAGGAGCTGATGTCACAGGGTGACAGAAAGGCTCAGGATAGAACATGAAAGCCCTCCAGAGAAGGTCGCCCTATCCTGGATTTCAGCACTAGATGTATCGGAGTTGTGGAGAGTAGAGAGACCACCCCAGCAGATTTTGTGTCAACAACAAGGCTGTTTAATTCACTTGGGTGCGAGCAGGCTGAGTCAGAAAAAAGAGCCCCGAGCAAGGGGAGAGCAAAGATCTTTAAGGGAGAGGGGTTGTCAGGTGATGGAGGTGGTTGCCAGGCATCGGTCTGAGGAGAAGCTGCAGAAAGAAGTCTGTGGGCAAAGATAGTGTGATCACACTCCTAGGAATGGTAGTGGTACAGATGTTTCCTGGAACCAAAGGTGATGTGTCTGTACTGGAACTGAGCTGAGGGATTGAAATATGATGCTCTGTGACAGCAGTGGCCTCACCCACTGGGCATGACAATATCTAGGTCATTGGACAAGAAATGTTTCTCTTTTGTTCCCTTCATATTTTTCTTAGTTATAATTTTTGGGGCTTTATTGACTACATTGATAGCTCCGTGCTTCCTGACCCAGTGTTGCCAACCCTTAGTACAGAGACAGGCTCCCAGAGCTGCACTGTAGGTTACAAAGCTTCATGGTAGCTGGCCATACTTGTTGAGGTCACCATACATGAACACACTAACACATGTTGCTGGCTTGTGGCTTCTGTCTTGAAAAGTATTTCTCCTTCCTACTCATCAACAGCTCATGTCTGTAGCTGTCAACATCTTTGAGTACTTTTCAGACCAAGAAGTGAATTAATTATTGAGCTGGGGAGAGGGAGACAGTCTTCCCAAGCATAGTATGGTGATTACTGGACTGGGAACCACCAACATCTGTTTACCTTCCTGTGGTGTTTCTCCTGACACTAGGTACTGAGAATGATTCCTCTTTTTCAAAAAGTCTTAATGATGATCACACAGTGGACAGCTAATTTATCCAAAGAAAACCATTTGGGTTCTGCTAATATCCATAGGAGAAATTCCTCTGAAAGGGAGCATCTTTTTTTTGTTGTTGTTTGTTGTCCAGTTAAAAGGAAAAAGGAAGACGACAAAAAAAAAAAGTAAAAAGCAACATGCAATATGTTCCTATTGTAGAAATTCTAGGAAAGCACCATCTCTCATCCTGAGATAACCAGTTTGTCCTTCCAGCATGATTATACATTTACATAATTTTTAACTGGGGTTACACTAACATGACTTTTTCCCTACTTTTCTCTCCCATGAGATGCATTCTTCATAGAATCTTTTTTTAATATGATTTTTTTTTTTTTATTTTCCTGGTACCAGGGATCAAACTTAGGACCTTGTGCTTATGAAGCAAGCGCAACACCACTGAGCTAAATCCCTGGCCCTGTGTGATTTTTTTTTTTTTTAATGACTGCATTGCTTTGGTCTTGTGAATGGTTCATAAGTGACTTACGCAGTGCTTTTTTTTTTTGTTAGGAAGTTAAATTTGTTGCAATAAACAGCTTTGCACCTAAATATTCTGTCACATTTCTGATGCTTTCTGCTTTGCCCTCTTCTCCCCTGTGGCATGTAGGGAGGTTGGGGAGCATTAGGGGCTTCCCTATGTGACTCTACAGGTGTTCCACAGACAGTCATCACCACCATGACCACCTTGAAGAAGAACCTGGCTGATGAAGATGCCATTTCCTGTCTTGTGCTGGGCACTGAGAATAAGGGGCTCCTGATTATCGACCCTGAGGCTTTCACTATTTTGGCCGAGGTCAGTGTTGGGTCTGGCCCTGGGCATACCCAAGGCCCAGGCTGCATTTCCTCCCTGTGTTCCTAGTGTGTTCTGGGTTGTACACATACATAGTAGAAAAATTACAAACTGTAGCTAAGCATAAAGAAAGAGATACATATCCAAAAATTCCACCATTCTTATAGTTTTGGCATATGTCCTTTCAGACATTTTGATATATGGACATAGTCATATAACAATAAATTACACATATACACTATATATTGTTATAAAAACTGGGAGGCTGGGGATTTAGCTCAGTGGCGCAATTGCCTGCCTCACAAGTGCAAGGTCCCGAGTTCGATCTCTGGTACCAAAAAAAAAAGAAAAAGAAAATTAGGGTCGTGGTACAGGCTCATATAATTTGCTGTTTTTCACATTGCAGCATATCAGTGTCTTTTCATGTTTATAAAACCATATTAACCTTTTAAAGGGCTATTATAGGGCCAGGATTTAGCTCAGTGCTTCTGCCGCCTGCCTCGCAAGCACAAGGACCCGAGTTCAATCTCCGGTACCAAAACAATAAATAAATTAAAGGGCTATTATAGGTCCATTATATAGATAAACCGTAATTTATTTACCCTATCACCTACTGTACATTCAAACTGTTTTCAGTTTGCCGCTGTTATTGACACCAGTGCAGTAGATTTTCTTGACCAAATATCTTGTGCATATTTGTTTACCTCCTTACAGTGCAGTCCTAGAGACAGCAATTTAGCCAAAGGATAAGACAAAAATGCTTTTGCTACATAATGCTGTTTCCCTCCAGAAAATTATGAGTTTACCCTATGACTAACAGGGTATGAGTGAGGAGAGTGAGACTTCAGACAAGTTACTAACTTGGAGGAGTTACTAGAAGGAGCTAGACAGGATGTTTGAGACTTTTCTCTGCAGATGGACATTCCCAGTGTCCCTGTCTTCCTGGAGGCTTCCGGTCAGTTTGATGTGGAGTTTCAACTTGCAGCTGCTTGCCGCAATGGTAACATCTATATTCTGAAAAGGTAATCACAACCATGGTCTCTGGGCCAGAAGAAACATCTTAGAAAGCTGGTGGTTTCAAAGGCTTGCAAACTAGGTAGGGGGCTTTGGGACTGAAATTTGGGAATGGAAAAAGCTGAGAATTTCACAAAGTAGGCTAAGCCCATGACCATAGAGGAGATGTTGGGAGGCTTGTGAAATAGGGGCAGGCTGTAGGACACATTGTCAGAAGTTGAAGAAAATTGAAATAGTCTCTCACATTTGTTATATAATTGTATAGTATATGTAGTACTTCCTTATGCATTAATTTCATAACTCATACAACATTTTAAATTCAAGAAATATTTATTGAAGCCAGGTGTTGTGGCACACACCTGTAATCTCAGATTTGGGAGGTTGAGGCAGGAGGATTGTGAGTTCAAGGCTAGCCTGAACTACGTAGCAAGACACAGTCTCAGAAAAATAAACCTAAAAATCTATTGAGTACCTACTATACACTGAGCACTGAACAAGGTATTGAGGCTATATTGATGCACAAAATATTATAGTTATGGTCTCTGCCCTCAATGATGAAGACAGATTTTTTTGTGTTTGTGCTGGGAATGGAACCCAGGGTCTTGCGTGGGACAGAGTAGGGAAACACACTTGATATTGTTCAAGGCCATACATCTGCTAAGTGGTGGAGGATCATCTGCTTTGGGCTTGGGTTCTTCCATCTAGGTTAGTCTGGGGCTTAGGGAGAGGAGCGTCAACCAGGACAGGGGAGAAGGGTTCTCTGGGGCACAATGGGGTTTCTTCATTCCACAGAGATTTCAAGTACCCTAAGTACAGCATTGAGCTGAGCGCCCAGCCCGTGGGGCTTGTTCGGGTACAGAAGATCCTGGTGGTGGGCAGCACCCAAGACAGCCTGCATGGCTTCACCCACAAGGTGTGGCTTCCCTTTCCCTGCAGCTGCAGCCAACCCTTCTTTCCCTGCTAAGCTCTGACTCCCCTGCAGACACTGGCCATTCCCTGCCAGGGCAAGAAGCTGTGGACAGTGCAGATGCCTGCAGCCATCCTGACCATGAACCTCCTGGAACAGTGCTCCCGCGGCCTGCAAGCTGTTATGGTTGGGCTGGCCAATGCAGAGGTTCGCATATACCGGGACAAGGCCCTGCTCAATATCATCCAAACCCCAGTAAGTCCCACCTCTAGCAAACTGCTGACTCCTTCTTGCCCCAGTCTCATCCTGGGCTGCTTCACTGCTTCTGCCCACCTCACATTGATTTATTGGTTTGAGAAACATCATAAGTGGGGAGCAGAATGACTAAGACCTTATTTTCAGAGACACAGTCTAAGGTGACAGTCAGAGACCCAGCAAATTAACACACAAGGCAGACTGAAGCAGAGCAAAGCACTGGGAAAGTAGAGGGAACTGAGTGATTGGAGAAAAGGTGCAAGAGATTAGTAGGGATAGAACTCATGGAACACTTCCCAGAGCAAGTGATAGCTCACCTGGCAAATCTGTTTGCCAAGAAGATGAATGGAAGAAAAACATTCTTAACAGGGAACAGCATGGACAAAGTCTAAGAGGTGTGGAGGTTCTTCCTTTTTTTTTTTTTTTTTTTTTTTTTATTTTGCGGAGCCAGGGATTGAATCTTGCACTTGTCAGGCAAGCGCTGGTGCCACTGAGCTAGATCTCCAGCCCCTGGAGGTTCTTGATGGAAGAATCCAGGTAGCTTGATGGGTTTAGATCAAGAGACTTCCGGACTCTTAACTTTTGAGTCATTGTATCAATTTAGTGGATCATAGCTAACAACATTTTAAAAAAACAGGACAGACATTTGTGAAACTGTTACATATATAATTGTCCTGGGTCACAACATAAAATCTGAGGTTTGAGCCTTAGGGTGGTAGGAGGGCAGGTAAGGTTGGAGGAGAAAACTGTTAGCTGAGGCAGATGGGCCTTAAATGTCCTGACACGAGGTAGAAGCCACTGAGGAGGCTTTGTGCTTTTGAAAAGCAGCCCAGGCAGCATTGCATAGGACTGGGGAGGAAGAATATCCTGGATGACTGACGAGGAGGCTACCCTAACAGCAAGGGCCAGTGGTGTTTAGTCTAGAACTTTGGCTGTAGCACTGAGGGGAGAAGGGAAATTGGAAATACAGGAACTGTTTCCAAGGCAACACAGGCCCAGGCCTCTCCTCCCAGCTCACCCGTTATATCTCATAGCTGGGGCTCCATCTTGCTTTCTTCTCCAGATATTTCCCCAGCTAAACTCTTGTGTCTCCTCCACCTAGGACACCGTGACCAGCCTTTGTTTTGGCCGCTATGGGCGGGAGGACAACACACTCATCATGACTACTCGAGGTGAGGGGACTCAGAATGAAGATGAAATGGAAGTGAAGCTCAGGTGGACTCAGGTAGAATGCTAGTCTGTCAGTATTAGTCCTACCTGAGCCTGGCCACTGTTAGGACAGCTCCTCAGCAGTTGATATGGCTGCCGAGGGGCCAGTTCCTGGGCTGGGTGGTGTCTCCCCCCATTCACCTCAATATCCTAGCACCTGCCACAGTGCCTCAAACCTCAAAGTATTCCATCAGTAGCTGCTAAATGAATAAAGGAACTAATGATAGGAAATGATTGAGATACATTTCATTCCTTCTAGAAACTGAGTTCCTTACAGGAAGATAGACATGTACAGAAACTGTTTGGGGAACAAAGAGGGAATGTAAGCCAAAACTAGGGAGGATAGATGTTTGTCCACTTCTCTAGGTGGTGGCCTGATCATCAAGATCCTGAAGCGTACAGCAGTGTTTGTAGAGGGAACAGGTGAGGTTGGTCCCCCACCAGCCCAAGCCATGAAACTCAACGTGCCCCGAAAGACTCGGCTTTATGTGGATCAGACACTGCGAGAGCGGGAGTCTGGCACTGGTGAGACTCGGTTCCTTCTCTTCCTTCTCCCCCTGTGCAGGGTGGATGCTGCCGGGTTCCCTGGGTGGTGGGAAACCCTGGCCAACTAGGCAGGTCTTGTGTCTATAGAAGTCCAGGGACAATGTTTGAGGTAAATGTACCTTCACATAACCGTTCTTCAGGCCGGGGATTTAGCTCAGTGGTGGCACCACCTGCCTTGCAAGTGCAAGGTCCTGAGCTCGATCTCTGGTACCAAAACACAAAACAAAAAAAATCCGTTCTTCAAGGTGGTGGGCGCTATGGGTGAGGACAAGAGACCTTAGAATTCAAGGCCAGGGATTTAGCTCAATGGTTCCACTGTCTGCCTCTCAAGAACAAGATCCTGAGTTCAATCCCTGGTACAAAAAAAAAAGAATTTAGAGGCAGCGGTCACTTCCAGATGCAGGAATTCACATGAGGAAAGTAGAAATAGACCAAGATTTTTCTTGTTCTGCTAATTTTTTTTCATTTATTCATTCATTCCCTATGATTGTTTCAGGTACTTTGAATTAGGCTACTCTCTACCTTGGGAGCTTAGTCCATCTGGCCAGCTTAATGTCACGTGAAAGGTGTAGAGGGGATTCTGCTAAGGGCCACTGGGCATGCAGTACCCAATGCCAAGCAGGAGTAAGGAATTTCACTTGGGAAACAAAGACTTCAGAGAGAGGTGACACTGACTTCCACCAAAAGATGATTTAAGTCACCAGACAGCATGAAGGGAAGAGAAATTTAGGTAGAGGATGAAGCAGAGGTACAGGACCCTGACCTGGATCCAAGCAAGTGTCTGCCATGTAGCTGTGGGTATAGCACCAAGCGGTGAGTGGCCAAGGGGGCTAAGAATGGGGGTCATAGCCAGCTCACAAAGGGCCTGAAATATAAAGCTAAGTTCAGACATGTTTAGGAAATGGGTAGCTGACAAAGATTTTAAGGTGAAAAATATAGTAACTCAGCCAGCTCTGTTGTTAAAAGGGGACTTGGTCTCAATTTGAAGGGCAAATACAATAGGGCAGAGAAAATAGCAGGATTTTATAGCAAAACAGTGGATAAAGTATGAGAAAAATAAGCTAGGGATGTAGCTCAGTGGCAGAGTGTTTGCCTAGCATGCATAAGGCCCTGGGTTCAATTCTCAGTACCAAAAAAACAAAAATGTAGGGAGTTCTGTAAGGTAATCAGGTATAAAACTCATAAACTATTAAAAACTTGTAAGTTTTATATATACAGTACAGATAATATCCATTTAGCAAATATAATAGGAAAGGCTCCATTCACAATAGCAAAGAAATCCCTAGAAATAAATGTAACCAGAAAATGTACAAAGTCTTGAAAATAAAATTATGAAAACTGTTCAAGAACATGAAAGACCCTCCTCAATGTCTAAATGGAGAGGGTTACCAGGTCTTATGCTGGAATGACCTAATATCATAAAGCAATTGATTCTTCCAGAATAAATCTAAGAATAGTAGAGTTATGGAGAAAATCCTGATGGGATTTGTTGTAAGGATTTGTTCAGCTAATTCTAAGAATAAATCTAAACTGGCCGGGGATGTAGCTCAGGTGGTTCTGCCACCTGCCTTGCAAGCACAAGGTGCTGAGTTCAATCCCCGGTACCAAAACAAAAACAAAAACAAAAATCCCAAAATACAGACTCACTCCAGGTAAGTAAACAATCTATTGTCGGGCGTGGTAGTGCACGCCTGTAATCCTAGCACTCCGGAGGCTGAGGCAGGAGGATCACTGTGAGTTGAGACCAGCCTGGGCTACACAGTGAGTTCCAGGTCAGTCTCAACTACATAGTGAGACCCTGTCTCAAAACAGCAACAACAACAACAAAAAATCTAAGTCAGGGCGTGCCCCTGTAATCATAGCACTCTGGAGTCTGAGACAGGAAGATTGCAAGGTCTAGCCCAGCTCAGGTGATTTAGTGAGACTATGCCTTAAAATAAAAAATAAAGGGCTAGGGATGTAGCTAGCTCAATCTAAAGGCCCTGGGTTCAGTCCTCATCACACACACACACAAACTCAAGATAATGGCTCTAGAGGGAAAGTGGTTTTCAGAGTGGGGCTGGGGTAGGCTCTGGAGGCAGATTTGAGGACAGGCATCTACTTTGGGCAGTAGTTACCTGTGATGGGTGACCTGAAGTGATTTGAAGGGCAATGATGCAAAGACTGAGGCAGGACAATGAGGCTGTTTTCTACAGTATTGCACTTGTGATGCTGATAGGACTCCAGGTGGAGAGGACAAGGTAGTTAGAGGCAACAGGTAGGTATAAGTATCCACAAGCTGCGGGGCTCATGGGTGTCCATGAGCATAATACTGAATGTGGCACGGGACCTAGCCCTGTGGCTGGCTGTGGGAATAATAAGATCCCTGCCCTCCTGAACTGGTGCTTTTTTTTTTTTTTTTTGAGGGGGTGGTCAGTGCCAGCACAGGCTCTAGGTTGTGCAGGGGAAGAAGATGCAGGATAGGAAAGGAACAGTCACCAGGATTCCAGGGAACACCAGCCTGTAGGACTAAACAGGATCTAGGGAAGGAGTCTGGGATTGTGTAGGCAGTGAGGTGGTGGGAGAACCAGGAAGAAGGAAGGATTAAGGTGTGGTCCACAGTGCCCAGTATCACCAGAAGTCCTGGCCACTGGGCCTGGTCCCTTCTGGTCTCCACCTTCCCACCCTCTGGGTCCTGCTGCTGCCCCTTCCTCTCATACCTCCACTTAGCAGCCTGAGCAGGAGAATCTTCCTCTCCTGCTGCCTCTCCTTCCAGCCTCAGCCTTTGTGTCCCTCCTCAGGCATGCACCAGACCTTCCAGACAGAACTCTACCTGCTACGCCTCCGGGCTGCCCGTGCCTATGTGCAGGCCCTCGAGTCCAGCCTGAGCCCCATGGCAGTCACAGCCCGGGAGCCACTCAAGCTGCATGCTGTGGTGAGTGTCCAGTGTGGGGTGTCAAGATCAGAGGGCAGAGGTCAGGGATGGGTGGGAACCCCCACCACACAGTAATGTCCCCAGAATCAATGTCAAGCCAGCCAAGCCCCATGCTGTCTTCTTACCCCCAGACCCAGGGAGTGAGTCTCATGTCCTCCTGTGGTTGCTGCTCTCACCATCTCACCCTCCTGAACTGCCCTCTTCTGCATGTTCCATGGTGTGCCTCTGATGGATGCCAGATTTGGGTCAGGGAGCACAGTAGTCACCTTGGGACAGTACAGGGAAGAAGGTTGTTCACTTTGATAGCCATAGGTAGCCCAAGGCCTTAGAACTGCCTGGTACAGGGAAGGGCAAACCTGACCCAACCACAGCATCCTGAGGCATGTGCAGGCACGAGGGAGGAGCCCAGACGTAAGTGACCTCGAGGTTCACAGGGCCCTGACCAGCTCTCAGTGGGTTCCTGAGTGTCATCTGATCCACTTGGGTTTTCCCGGCTCTTTCCCTCAAAGAGTAGACAGAGAAGAGGAAAGGGCAACTAGAGGTATGAGGGAGAAATTGACATCCCTGAAGCTACTAGGATGAGAGTGGGAGGGAGAACAGGCTTTAGGGCAGTGGGTGGGGGCAGCCATGAGCACATGGGAATATCTGGGCTCTGCTTCTGACTTGCTGAGTGGTCTCCATCAAGGCCCTTCCCATCTCTGGGTCTCTGCTGACCCCTGGTACACCTTCTGGACTCCTTTGCAGTTTGAGAGGCAGAAGGGTCAAGTGTTCAAGTACCCAGGGCCACCAGGTTTTAAGGGCCTTCTCTACCACCGCTCCACAGGTGCAGGGACTGGGCCCCACCTTTAAGCTCACACTGCATTTGCAGAACACTTCGACCGCCCGGCCCGTGCTGGGGCTGCTGGTCTGCTTCCTGTACGACGAGGCACTCTATGCCCTCCCTCGGGCCTTCTTCAAGGTACTGGATCAGCCTCACTGAGGCATGGGGCTGACAGGCTGGGGTGGGGCACTTACTAGATGGCCACAGCCCCAACCAGGTTGATGAGCCTGGCAGCTGGCCAGCAGGCCAACTCTCCAGCCAGGAAGCAGGATCAGCCAGACAGGTTTCTGGAGGGAGCGCCAGGTCCTGCCCCTGCAGCCATTTTCCCAGCCTGAGTAGCCCCAAAGAAGGTACAGAGAAAACAGCTGGGCCTGGGTTCTACCCCTTTCTGTCCAACTCTGCCAGGGACCAAGTAACCCCAGAGCTTACCATGCTTTCCCAGCTGCTTCTGCCATAGCTGGTAGCTTCCCACCACTGCAAAGAGACTCTCCATGGAATGAAGGGGCTGGCTTCCCCCCAGAGCCTCTGTTTGACCCTATCTTAGTCACTTTCTTGTTGCTGAGACCCAATATCTGACACCCACAATTTAAAGCTGGCTCTCATAGTCAGCTGGCTCCAAGGCAGGAAGGCATGGTAGATGGGCTTGGGCAGAGCGGAGCTGCTCAAGTCATGGTGGACAGGAAGCAGAAAATAAAGGGAGGGGATAAACCCTTCCAGGCCATGCCCCAGGGACCCACCTCTTCCAACCAGACCCCGACCTCCTAACATCTAGTCAGCTATTAGCCCCCATCATCCACCTTCCAAAAGCCCCAGCTATTACTGCGTGAGGCTCTTGGGGGTGGGGCATCTAGATACAAACCATAACAGACCCCAAGTTGGGAGGAGCAGAAACTAAGATTCTAGAGTGTAGCAAAGATAGCCATAGCCGTGGTAGGAGTCAAGAGGTCCAGGTTTAACCACAGACAGGCCATACAGCCCTGGAATGTTCACTCTCCTACTCTTCCTGGAACCAGCTGGCCATCCCTGCCCATCCTGCTTTAGCTGATACAGTGGGCAATATCTGGAGATAGGGACTAATTTTCTTATCTCTTTGTCCCCAAACCTAGGTCCCCTTGCTGATACCAGGGCTCAACTACCCTCTGGAGACTTTCGTGCAGAGTCTCAGTAGGAAGGGCACCTCAGACATTATCAGGGTAGGTCTCCTGTTGGCACTTCTTGGAAGTTAAGTGAGACTCTGGGGTGGACAGAAAGGGCAAGCATGAACAAGGGCCTCCAGACTTGTGCAGTGAGGGTGGGTATCTGCACAGTCCAGGCTGAACCCTTCGTCAGGGCCAGTGCCAAGAGGCAGCCTGGCCTTTGCAGGGAGCAAATGAAGGGGTCAAGGTGCATGCACCCTGCTGCCATGGGTGTCTTCTATATAGGTGCTGGTTCTCCGAGAAGGCCAGAGTGTTCCCCTGCTAAGTGCCCACATCAGCATGCCTGTGAGTGAGGGGCTGGCAGCTGCCTAAGGACTGGGCCTGCATTCAAGCCCTATGGAACGGAGCCAGCAAGATCCAGCCACTTCTACTGAGCTGGGCAGGTTCAGAGGCCCTACACCACTCCCCACACAGCAGGGTGCCTGGCCCAACTTCCTGCTCCTCTCCCAAGCAGCGCCTTGCTCACCTCCTCAACCACTGCGTCTGTAGCAGCAGGTCAGAGAGTACCCAGGAGGCTCAGTGCTTCCTACCTCAGGACTGTTTCCCTGAGCTCTTGCAGCCCACCACCCTTCCCAGCTCTTTGATAAAGCACACTGGATTTCAAAGAAGTGCTCTGAGGTGGTCCAGATGAGAAGAGGAGTGGCCAGCCCTATATTCCACGTCCCTTAGGCATACAGCTCATCTAGCACAGACCAAGGCCAGAACAGGTGAGGACCTGGGGAAATCAGAGGACCTTCCTGAGTGAGACTGAGCCCACTGTCCTCATTGAGGTTCCAGAGGCCTAGCTGCTATTAGCTTAGCTTGCAGGCAAAGCATGAGCTGTGGTCTCCCTCCTGTGCTGAGCCAGAGGCTCCTCTTCCCACCCAGCCACCAAAGAAATGGCCACCTCCCGATGAGGAACTTTCCAAAGTCTTGGACTCAACCATCACCTCAGGCTTCTGAGGCCCAACAAAAGTGGTCAAGGGAAGAAGGGGTGCAGAAGGGCAGGGGATGGCCCATGTGGGGAGCTAGTGGCTCCAGCCCCTTCCAGCACTCCCGAAGACCACCCAGGTGTGTTCCTGACCTGATGCTCATGCCCTGAGGGCATCCTTGGAGAGGAAGGCCAAGCCAGACAGCAGGGATGGGGCCAGTGGCACTGAGAGAGGTATTTCAGGGTCCCAGAAGGTGGCTTAGGAGACAGAAGCCCAGAAATATCCATCAGGATGCTCTTCTGTGCCCTGGAGCTCAAATCAGTCCTGCAGACAGAAAATGCCCTAGATGGCAGCCAGCATGTGAGGGATTTTGCTGGAAAGGCATCCACCAAGACATCAAGTTGGGCTGAAGTGGGCTGGGGATTTAGCACGGTGGCACTGCACCTGCCTAGCAAGTGAAAGGTCCTGAATTCAATCCCCAGTACCAAAAAAAAGGAAAGAAAATAGAGATTGTGATACATGAGGTTTTCTCTCTTGAAGTAGCATCCATCCCTAGTAAGTGACTAGTCACTTTTAATTATATATATATATATATATTATACACATATTACTATGTGAAAGTTATCCAACACAAAGCCAAGAATTGGGCTATAAATAACCTTTTTTAAACTTTTAAAATTTTTCATGGAGTTAGTAATTGCCTTTTCTTTCTTTCACTGAGGTTTTTAATACAATAGCAGTCACTCCTTCCCCTTCCCAGACTGACAGTTGCCTCCCCACTGCAACACTTGCCTGCATACCGTTTCCTTGAGGGCTGTTTGCTCTCCAGAATTAACTGCCCCACTCCATGTGTAGATCCTCTCATTCCTGGGATCCAGGTTGTGTTTCTTAGTTCACCCTTGTCTGGTGAAACACATCCACAGTACCTTCTTTAAAATATTAAGAGGTAAACATTTTATGGCACTTCTTGACTGAATAGCTCTTTTGAGGGGGCAGGGTACCGGGGATTAAACTCAGGACCTTGAGCTTGTGAGGCAGGTGCAGTGCTGAGCTAAATCCCTGGCCCCCTTGGCAGACTATTTCTTTAATTCTTCAAATATATGTGGTACTTTGAATTATAAAATTTGAAGCTGGAAATCATTTTGCAGGCAGTGCTGTGTCTCCTAAACTTCTGTACCATTTCTATTTACAAATATCTTTTTTTCCTCTCAGAAGTTCTCAATATTGTGACATGCCTGACTTTTTATCATTATTTCTTGTGCAATGTAAATGTGCATCCTTCAGGACCAGGAAGTTGTACTGGAATTGTTTGTTGGATAATTTCCTCCTCTCAATTTTCTCTGTTCTCTCTGCAACTCCAGTTAAACCCAGCATCTGATTAAAAAAAAAGCCATTGATCCCAGGGAGGCCAAGTTTGATTCTGATTTTCTTTTCTCTCACATTTATTGTTTTGTTCTGTTTTCTGAGTTTTAGCAGGGTTTGCTTGTTTTTGTTTTTCTTGTTTTAAGACGGGGTTTCACTATATAGCCTAGGCTGGTCTTGTACTTGCAGTGATCCTTCTGCTGCTTCAGACTCCTGAGTGCTAGAATTACAGGCGTGTGCCACCATGCCTGGCTTGTCAGCTTTTCTGAACTTTTAAATATTTTTTTGTTATTTCTTAAATTTTTGTTCTTGGTTGTCTTTACTTATGGTATCTTTTCAAAACTGGACTTTCTTCTTTTTTTTTGTACCGGGGATCAAACCCGGGATCTTGAGCTTGCAAAGCAGGCAGCAGAACCACTGAGCTAAATCCCCGGCCCTGGACTTTCTTCTCTTAACTGAGATTATCTTTTTATTTCATCAGCATTTCCCCTGAATTTCAGTGTTTTGTTTTCCAAGGTATTTCTCCTTTGTTACTCCAAATGAGGTCACATAGGACTTTAAAGAGTTCACATGTTCAATATAAACTAGGAGTAAACACTCCCCACATCTTCATCTCACCAGAATCAGCAAGTGAAATTGTTTCTATGGTGGTTAAAAGGGATGGAGCCCTCTTCTAAGAGTTTGGTGCTGGGAATCAAATCCAGGGTCTTGTGTGTGATAGGCAAGTGTTTTACTGTTGAGCTACATCCCTATCCCATTCCTGAGACTTTTTTTTTTTTTTTTTTGTACTGGGGTTCAAACTCAGGGCCTCATGCTTGCCAGGCCATGGGCTGCACCGCTGAGCTACATCCCTGGCCCTCATTCCTGAGAATTTTTAACCATAAGCTACTGAGTAAGTTTGAATCCTGAACTGACAATGCCTGGCTTGTCCTAAAAACCCCTAAGTGAACATTGAAAGTGATGTAGGATTGGTTGTATTAATCCTTGGGCAACTAATAAACACATTTCCTCACTGGAGAGGTTTTTTTTTGTACTGGGAATACAATTCAGGACCTTAACTGAGCTAAATCTCCAGCCCTTGGAGAGATTTGCTTTTAACCCAAAGTCAAAAAAAGAATCCCACAGATAAAATTCCAAGAAATAACAAAACTCAGGGCTGGGAATTTAGCTCAGTGGTTCTGGTGCCTGCCTTGCAAGCACAAGGACTAGAGTTCGATCCCTGGTACAAAAACAAACAAACAAAAAAACATTTTCAGTGTATTTTTTTCTTTTATTTTGATTTGTCTTTGTTTTGTCCTTTTTCATTTTCCTTGTAAAGAAAATCTGAGCAAAAGAATATATAAAATGATCAAGCTGATTTGAAAAAGAAACTAATAGAGCTTCTCAAAATACTAAAACTCAGATAATCCACAGGTAAAAAGTGGATGGATGAGTGGCTGGGGATGTAGCTCAGTGGTGCTGCCCCTGCCTGGGCAAGCACAAGGACCTGAATTCAATCCTCTGTACCAAACCAAAAAAAAAAAAAAAAAAATGCAGTAGAAAGGGTAGGAAAGAACTAGCACAAAATAAAGTATTAGGAATATAGCAACTATAAAATTATAATAAAAGTGGCTAAATATTTCAATTAGAAGACAAAAAAAAAGACCAAGAATATTTAGGTAATTTTAAAAATTCATGTCTAGCTGGACATGGTTGCACATGCCTGTCATCCCAACACTCAGGAGCCTGAGGCAGGAGGATCACAGTGAGGTGGACTCCTGGGCTCCATAATGAGTTCAAGGAAACTACCCTGAACTACATAATAGTTCTCAAAAAAATAAAATCTGTCTACCTTTTCTCCAGCCCTGGGGATTGAACCCAGGGCCTTAGTTATGGTAGGTCAGTGCTTTACTGTTGAGCTACATCTCCAACCCCTGTTATTTTATTCAGAGTCACTAGTTTCCCAGGCTAATCTCAAACTAGTGATCTTCCTGCCTCAGCCTCCTGAGTAGCTGAGATTACAGGAATGGGATACCACACCCAGCAAAGCCGTTAAGAGATGGAAAGTAAACAGGCAGGGCTTGGTGGTGCATACTGTGTAATCCCAGGACTCAGCAGACTGAGATAGGAAGATCATGGTGAGTTCAAGGCTAGCCTGGAGTTCATAATAAGGAGCTGTCTCAAAAAAAAGACAAAACCAAAATAAATGGAATAGAAAACTTGCTTAGCTTGGTAAATAGCATCTATTTAAAAAAGTTGTAATGAACACATTAATGATGAAATATTAAACTTAATCCCCTAAAGTCAGAGACAAAAGTGTACCTTGCCAGTACTCCACTATCTATAGTGGTCTCGTCCATACAGAAAGGCAAGAATAGACACATAAAAGTTAGAAAGGATAAAGAAAACCTTTCATAGGTAATATGTTTAGAAATCAAGTAAATGGTAATGAGTTTTAGGTGCTGAACACTTTTCTTTTTCTTTGAACACTGTTTTCTTAAGTCATGTATAATAGCATTAAAATAAATACTCAGAAGGCCAGGGATTTAGCTCAGTGGTGCTGCTGCCTGCCTTGCAAGGGCAAGGTCCCAAGTTAGGGATTTAGCTCAGTGGTGCTGCTGCCTGCCTTGCAAGGGCAAGGTCCCAAGTTCAATCCCTGGTACCAAATAAATACATATTCAGGGCAAGATCTTTATAAGAACAGGTAGAGCTTTATTGAAAGTTCAATGAGGAGGAATTTAATTCAGTGGTTCTGCTTCCTGCTTTGCAAGTATAAGGTCCCAAGTTCGACCCCCGGTACTGAAAATTCAACGAGGAGATACATCATGTTCAAGAACTGGAAGACTGAAATGTCATGGAGATGCTGATTTTCCCCAGATTCATGTATAGATTCGTTAGGGTTCAGAGGTTTTTGTTTTGTTTTTGTACCGGGGATCAAACTTGGGTCCTTGTGCTTGCAAGGCAGGCGGCAGAATCATGAGCTAAATCCCCGGCCCTTGAAGAGGTTTTTATTGATGAAATTTGATAAACTGATTATAAAATATATATGTAAGAGCAAGGGCTCTCAGTCCAAAAGGACATGAGTAAATTAAATGATCGGTGGAAAAAAGTAAAAAAATTAAATGTGGTATATCCAGTAGTTCACTGTACAGCAGGGAAAAGGAACTCTCCAGTTTCATGCAACAATCTGGATACATCTCAGAAACATAACATTAAGTAAAAAAAAAAAAAGTCAAAGAAGAATAAACTCCACAATTACATTTGTATAAAATTTTAAAACATGCAAAACCAATACAAACATGTAACAAAACTTTAAGTAAAGCAAGAAACAAGTGCAAGGTCCCGAGTTCAATCCCCAGTACCAAAACAAAAAAGCAAAGCAAGGAAATGATTAGGATAGGACAGTGTGTTCCCTGCCAGGGAAGACTTCGAAGGAAATGGTAGTTCCTTCAAAGAGTTGTGGGGGTGGGGGTGGGGGAGGATTATAAATATTCTCTTGCATCTCTTCACCATTAAATAAAAAACATGACAGGAAGATATTCTGGAGGGTGGGGATGATGCAGGAAGGAAACGGGACAGATCTGCCAGTGCTTATGTACAGCACATAGTGCCAAGCACACCGAGTTCCTAACATCTTTAAAAAAAAATAACAATAGTGCATGCTGATTGGAGGAAACAGTCACCCGTGTGGTATGGGCAGAGCGTGTCAGAGGGTGAGTTACTCTAAGAATTCTAGGGGTACACAAGCACCCCAGCATTATCTATGCTCTTTCATTCAACCTCATTTTTGGTCCAGCCCCTCATCCCCACCTTCCCCATTTCCCTCAAGACCCTGAGCTCTGACTCAGTTCTCTTCCAGTAACTCCACCCAACCCACAGGGATAGCTGCTTGCCTGCTTAGGGGAAGTGCAGCGAACAGCTCCTTAGCCACTGTCCATCTGTCCCCACTGCTGGCCCCACGCCCCACCTGCCTACCCTGCTGGTGGAATTCCTGAGCCTCTCCAGGGGGCAATTCTGCTTGCCTCTCAGCCCCTCCCTCTGAGAACATGCTATTCAATTTCTAATTCTCTGCTAAACGATGAACAGCCCTCTAACCATCTTCTATCTTTCAATACATTGTCAAGAGCCAGGTAGGGTAGCACACGCCTCTAATGCCAGCACTTGGGAGGCTGAGGCAGAACTGTGGAGTTTGAGGCCAGCCTGGTCTGTCAAGCTCCTTGATTTACTGCTGTCTCTTGTCTTCCTGCCCCTTGCAAATTTGTATCTCTTTTGTTTCTTTACTATCACTTGAGAGAGGCTCAGAGAGCAGAGATAAACTTGTGGGTTGAAGCCTGCTGTTTGCTATATTTACATAAAAAGGTGGAACACACAACTCCAAAGAGCCACAGAGGGGTACAGCCATCCTCTTTGCAGTCCCAGCTGGCTGCTTTGCTCTGATTCTTTTCCTGCTTCCTTTCCTCACCAACTGTGCACGGTGAGGGGAAAGCACAAAAACCCGAGTTCAAATCCTTCCTCCTGTTTATTATCCCATGACCTTAGCACATCAGTTCCTCCAGCTTTACATTTTTCATTCACCAAATAAGCATACTTGCCACCAATGTATAACAGTAGCTAAGAGAGTTTCCAAACATAGATGCTCTTAGAATGTTGCAGAAATGCTTCCTGTCATAAAGACTGGTACTGTAAAGCATGTCTGGATTTTCACTGCCTGCATCCCATTCCCCTTCCAGAGCCAGAGGAGGCACAGCTCTGGTCCTTCATTCTGTGGTTTGCAGGCCTAGTACAGAAACCAGAAACAGCAGCCAAGGGCTGGGGATCTAGCTCAGTGGTTTTGCTGCCTGCCTCAAAAGCACTAGATCCCAAATTCAATCCCTGGTACCAAAAAAAAAAAAAAAAAAAAAAGCAGCAGCCAAGGCAACAAAACAAGGACCAGAAACCTAGTAAAGAGCAGAGGGAAGCCAAGGACCAAATGGTCACTTTTTTAGCCTGGCAGAGGGACAGCCAAGCAGCCCCTTGCCAGACTCTCTTCTGTAATCAGCCAAGAGAGGCACAATCACAAGACCTGAGCCCAAACTGGAACCTGGGCAGGGGCAAGGATGGTCTGGAATTCCCCACTGCAGGCATTAAGGGATAACCTGGCCTCCCTCCTGTGCCTGAAGGTGGGGCTGGAAACATGTTAATACTCCCCACCCCACCCCCCACACCCACCCTCCATCTCCTCTCTGTCCTATTTAGCTTTGGCTAAGGAAGCCAAGAGTCCCACATCAGCTGTGGTCTGGAAAGTAATCCCATCCCCAGGCAAAGGGGAAGCCAGGAAGGGCCAGAGCCAGATGAGGGCCCAGCGGGGCCCCAGGGCCGCCTGCAGGTTGTGGCGGGTGCCCAGGTCATAGCAGTGCTGGCCCCGAGCCCACTCCCACGTTGTCTGGCCCCGCAATAGCAGTGTCCCATGGAACAGCAGCCCAGCCCCGCACAGCAGTGCACCTGCCACACACGTATCCATCACGAAGGCCAGTGCAAACTGAGCCAGAGACACTTGGCCTGTAGGAAGAAAGCAGAGAGGGTTAGGGGGCAGCAGCTGGTCCCAGCCCTCCCAAAGCCCAGTCCTGCCCCTAGGGTCCACCCCTACCCTCCAGAGCTGATTGCTCCACTCTGCAAATACCAAGTTGCTACCCACTGGCCAACCCATGCTGGATTATGGGAACACAGTGGTGAGCAGGACAGACACTCCTGCCTGTGATATGACTTCCATTCTTGTATCACAAACTTGGTGATTGCCTAAGGGGTGGATACTCTGAGATAAAATGGCATCTCTGTCCTCAGGAAGCTCTCAGACATGTTTTTCTTTATAACTATGACCTGTATCACAACAAAAAAGCACAACATCTTGTACCATCTTTGCCACAGGAGGCAACAAATATCTGCTGAATAATGAACTACAAGATGCACTGAAACACTGCAAAGAGAGAGAAGCCAGACACAAAAGGTCATGTGTTGTGTGGTCCCCTTTATGTAAGATACGCTGAACCCACTAGTGCATAGAGAAAGCCGATTAGTGGCTGCCAGGACCAGGGAGAGTTTGCTTAATGGGTTCAGGATTTCTTTTTCAGTGGAAATGTTCTAGAACTTGATAGTGGAAATGGCTGTACATTGTAAATATACTAAAAGCCACTGAATTGTACACTTTAAAATTGCTAATATGATGGATTTTACCTCATTAAGCCCCAAGGTAGGAGGGTTGCCATACAAACATCGAGAGAGCAGAGGAGGTGGACTTTGTCTATTTTGATAAAGTGGGGAGAGAACAATTCTGTTTGCAGATGGGACAGAGAGGCACAGGTGAGACAGGGAGTCTACGGTTTGAGATACAGTCTCAGGCTGGACATGCAGATGTGTGAGTAGTAGGAGCTCCAAAACTCCCAGGGTGGCTGGATCTGCCAGAGTACATGAAGCAAGAGGAGAACCATGCTACACTCAGGCATCAGATAAAGGAGAGCAAGCCCCACAGGGTGATGGGTGATTGCAATCCCAGATAATTGGGAGGCTGAGTTAGGAAGATCACTTGTTCAAGACCTGCAAGACTCCACTAGACAGACAACCAGGAAGGAAGGTGGAAACATCACAGATATGAGAAGTATCAGTGAAGCCAAGGATGCAACAATTGGCAGTTTTTTCAGTCTAAATGGTCTCCTAAAGAAAAAAGGGAACTGGAAAGGTCCTGTAGATTTGATGGAAACAGAGCCTCGACCTGTGGTGGTCTCAGAAAGGAATAGGGCAAAAGCCAGGCTGGAGCAGGGGGAAAGGAATAAAGGAAACACAGCGTGAGCCCTGTAAAAGGCCTCCTAGATGCAGCAGACAGGACAGAAGAGCAAGGCAGGAGGAGAATGTGGGTCCAGAGGTCTGCACAAAGTAGGGAACCCTAAAGGAAGCCAGCAGAAGGGCCAGGATGCAGAGGAGGGGTGGACACCACAAAGAGCTGTCTGAGCAGGGAGGAAGGTGCCAGACATAACTGGAGGCAGCCAGTCAGGTGAGCACAGGATGACTGGAAGTACCATCTAAGGTCCTGTTCTCTCCACGGTGGACCTTGGGGGACAGGAGAGTGGGGAAGGTTTGAGTTGCTGTCATTGGGGGAGGAAATTTGGAAAACAAAAGTTGGCCAGCTACAGCTGAGGGCCTGTTGAAGTCAGTAGCCATGAATGTGGCAGGGGACCACGTCAGAGGTAAACACAAAGGAGCCAGGAGAATACAATAAGGAAGCCTGAGGTGTTGGCAGAATGGTGGGAAATGGAGGGCTCGAAATTGAGCATGAGGCCATGAAGACAGGACAAAGCAGGTGGACAGAAAGGTGACAGCCAAGAGCCTGCAGGGCCCAGCAGCTCCTGGGAGACAACATTTCAGATTCTGACAAGGATGGGCATTTGAACTTGACGGGAGAGAGAAGTGTAATGGAGAAGGTGGCCAAGAAACTGAGCCATCTGGGCACAGATGGGAGCATTTACACAGGCTTTCAGATGCTCATAATTTTCTCAGGGCCTAGGACTGAGAGATTAGGAGATGGAGCCTGAATCTGGTGGCTGGGAGCAGTGGTGGGAGGCCGTGAGGACAGCAAGGAGAAGCAGCTGGAGCGCAGAGCCTCAGGGCTCCTCAGCGGAGGAGGGCGGGTCAGGGAATCACTGTGGGCAGAAGACCGACAACCCCTGCGGGCCTCCAGAGTCTGTCCTTGGATGGGGG